AATACACGTATTTTTTACAAAAATTTCAATAAGACACACAAAATTCACGTATTATACACATAATTCTCACATATTATTGAATAAAACTAATATATATTAACAAAAATATAGTGGCCAAACATTTGAGTTGTAATTTGCAAAAATTTTACTGAATGAAACACGTACGTATTTTATTAGTATTTTTTCCCGTTCCGTATTTTACTAACTATGAATGAATGTACAGCCACACGGCTATACTCGGTTTTTTTCACCTATAATTGGTTTTTCTTTTAAATAGTACCGCCGCGCGGCTATATTCGATTTATTTAATTTTTATTTTAAAAATAGTATAGCCGCGGAACTGTACTCGTTCTTCCTCAATTCTTTTTAAAAATAGTATAGTCGCGCAGAAAATTCGAACTACACAACAAACCATAGAATATATATAATTATAAGGCAATAACTCTTCTATCCAACATTCCAGCTCTACTTGCCTGCCTCCATGGAGACAAGTTCTCTATAACTCTGCCTCGGAAATATATAAATTCAATGGAAATGATCACATAACACAATATTTTACATTAAGAAATCAATTAAAATCATGTGGTCGCATATTGTCTGTGCAAAAGACTCAGAACCTTGTTAGATGCATGCATTTGAATTTTCCTGTGCTTTTCTTCATGAAATGCATTTATATATGCTATGTTATAATCAGAGCGGAACCACAACCAAGGCTGTGGTGGACTATAGCCTAGGGAAGTTTTGAAGAAAAATAAATAAATAAACCTATATCTATATGGCCACTATAATAATAAACCAATATCTCTTTTTTTGTTGTTGAAATTAGAAAGGCAAAGTATCAAAAAAGTGCACGTAGGCTCTGAATGAGACCAACTGGCATGTGGTCCTATTATCATAATAAGTAAGTTGAATGTGGATAATGGATTGATGGGCAAGTCAGACCAACCAGACCATCCGAGATATATACTTGTTTGGTAGTGTTTGATGAATTCTATTCATTTTCCTAGATACTAACATTGATCTATTTCTTTCTGCCTATTGGGTTTCTTGTTGTGCGCTTGTGTACAATTACTTAGAACCATTTTTCGCAATGGGTTTTCAAAGATTAGCTGTATGCATGTGGCCATGATCGCCATGCATTATTAGGCAACAGTACTAACCATACACAGTATAAGTTATTCGGTACACGACTATTTAGGATCACTTACGAATCATGATTAGGTATCAAACTAACAACAAATGCACATCATTCTCCAGTTCATATGAACCGGAGATTAGTTGAAAGCCATTAAACATTATTATAGATGGAGGTAGATTGGCTTATGGATTAAAAATTAATAATCCTAGGTTCAATGTATAATCGGGATTAATCTCTTTTAAAGTACTTTTGGTTCTGAGAATCCTTCCTGTAAAGTCACAATGGCTCGTTTGTATTTGTAATTTTGTAAGCGCCAAGTGCCAACGACTCCTTAATCGCGCGCGAAAACTTGATTTTAAAATAATAAACAAGTACCGAGAAAACGCACGTGCTGATCTGTGCAACCTAGGAGGATTTCCCGCGACTAATTATTTAATTAATTAATTTAATTCAATACCCTAATGAACCAAATCGCATTGGACGGTCCTGATCTATAGACCGTATTTATAAGATGCATATTCGAGGGTCAGGATCTGAGGAGTTACGACGCGTTAGCGTCACCAACTGCTTTTTGAACGTAGGGCCCACTGCATTAACTGTTTGTCTGCTAAAAGTGGGGTACTTTCTGTATGCGACACGTTGAATTGGATGTCAAAGCCAAACACTTTCTCGTTATTGGAAGTTATAACGATTTCCATTTTTTTTTTTTAACTTTGATATAATTCAGTTTCAAGCCTTAAGGTTTGTGATAATATCATAAACACCCCCTATTTTTGGAAACATCACAGGGCGACCCTTTTGTGTTCATACATAGTAATATAGTATACATTCCCATGTCAATTATATGATTGTTGTAAGGTTGTCACACATGTTACAACAAAATAAATAAATTTGTGTAATATTATGGGAGTAGTAAGAATTGGAGGCAAGATCAAAATGAGGTGGTCATATATTTACCAAATTATATTATATTTAAACTTTTTATTATTTTCTATTTCATAATAAGAATATACGATATTTGTACAACATGACAAAAATTATAATCAAAAGTGGCATATTAGATTTTTAATTATTGGAATCTAAGACAATCATGTAAATAAGACCTCTATTTACATTGACATGAAAATATTGTCGCACATTTTTCTTTGGATTCAGGTTCTTTATTTTTTAACATAAGCGTTATTGGATATAACATAATAATCAAACTTAAGACCTAACCAAAGATAAATACTCTTAATTATTTGAAGTATATGCGACTTACGGAAATTTTCTTCATTAAAGCTTAACAAATTTCATATGTTTGGATTGATGCATAGTGTGCAATTGAAACGATGGCTCTAATTAACTATGTTTTGGGGTTTAGGCCTCTACCTCATTAAACCCCGTTCAAACATAAAAGGTGAAAAAAATGAGACACATGGAATGAAAGTATTGATTGAAATTTGCTAATATGTAAGTTATAATATGACGAAGATTTTTTTCCCAAAGATAATTGAACAAGCTCATATTATTTGTCAAAAAACATGAATTTTCTTTATTAAAGTAAATAATGAAATTGAATTGCGAAGTTTAGTTTAATGCGCGCCACGTGCAAACTGAAAAACCATGTATGGCGCGTTATGACATTATCTAAAACTCAGGGTGGTTCCTGATATTCTCTGAATTTTGATTTCTACCTGAGTTATTATTATTTTTTTGTTGGAAGAGATGCTATCATGTTCAATACTTCTTAACTTCCTTTTCTTTCTTCTCTTGCTAAAAAAAACTTCTCCTTTCTTTTATACAACCCCATTCTAAATTTAGCAACTCTCCCTCTCTCCCCAATCTGAAGAACAACATCTTTCAAACCCAAAAACAGGTACCAATATTTCTCAAATCACAACCTGATTTTTAATTTTTTTTATATTTTAAATTCATGTGTTTCATGGTATTTAATTTCCTCATGCAGTTACCATCTCAATTATTCTCTTTATGTTCTGTTTCGGTTACAAATTCATGATGGCATTCACATATTTTGAAATATCAAAAGTCATAAATGGTGATTTTGCACCTTTATTATCTGCATTATTGTGCTTATAGCAGAAGCTTTCAATTCATGGTTTTTGCTTCTCATTGTATTGAGATTTTTTCAGGGCCGTCTCCATTATATGCATTGTTAAAGTTCAAAACTTTCATGGAAATAGTGAAGTTTGCATGACAAAGGACATAAATTTGTTGATTGTCTGAGCAAATTGAAGGAATTTGCGATCTGGGTTTTTGTAAAATCGAGGATCAAACACATTTGAGGAGAAATCCATTTCATATGTTTTTGTCATTTGCAATCTGGACGTCCTTATTGCTGGTTGGTATGTTAAAAAAGTGGTAGGAAGTAGTGAAATGGGTTAAAATGGATGGAAAAGAAGATGGTGAAGCATACGAAGAGCAGGCTTCCTCGCCTATTCAGGTTTTGCAGGAGATATCCGAGGAGGCATTTAAAATGGCAGGGGAGACACTGCAAAACATGTACTCGGGTAATTCGAGCATGCCGCCATTGGCACCGGGGCATAGACGCTCCCAAAGTGAAGTTGTAACTACGAGACACCGGCGCAGTAACAGCTTGCAGAAATTGAAATGTCAAATGCAGAAGGCTTGGAAATGGGGTAGCAATTCGCGGGGTGATTTGCAATTGGCTTTCAATCCTGAGGTTTTGGCAAACCAAAAACGCCAATGGTATCAGCTTCACTCCAGATCAAAGGTGTTTTTCTGTAATTCTTGCTGCCTGGAATCCCACTTAAAAAGTTATATTCTTTATCAATTTATTCTTGTGCCTAATGAACTAAAATTTATGATGATTCCATTCTAGGACCGTATAAAATTTACGGAGCCAGATTCACTGTTTGAGCATTTTATTATCGCGGGGCTTCATCCTGATGCTAACCTTGAGACTGTGGAGGGTGCATTTGGCAAGAGAAGGAAATGGGAGATGGATATGATAAACTCTGGAATAGTAGACCTTAAATTGCTACAGCAGCGGGGACCTCCAATCCCAACATTAGAACCTCAGGTTGACTGCATAACTGCACTTGTTTCAACACTAAATGTGAATATGTTTTCAACACTATCTTTTTAACATTCGGATATGATTTTAGTCGTATTTTCGGACAATGCAATCTGTCCTGATGAGTTTTCCTTGTGGATACAAATAATTTTAAAGTTCCTCAATAGAAATACATTGGATCTTAGTTCAAAAAGGAGAAAAAGAAAGAGACTTTGGATCCATTATCTAACATTTTACAAGATTTTTACATACTGCATAAATAGGCAGTCATTTGTGGTTGTCTTCTGGCATGTGATGATAATATACTTATTTTCCAAATGTGTTTACTGAATCCACAGATACTTTTTAAATATCCTCCTGGGAAGCGGCTAGCAATGCGTTTGAAAGATTTAGCTGCCTTTTGTTTTCCTGGAGGGGTTAAGGTTTGATATTACTCATTTTCCATGATGCTAAGTTCACTCATTATATTTATATTCATTTAACACTTATGTTGTATTGATGTAATTCTAAATGATTCTCTTGAGTGGATTTTCATGATACAGGCACGGTTAATGGAGAAGACTCCGTCATTAAGTGATTTGAATCAAGTTGTTTATGGACAGGTGCACACCAAATCGTGTATCTTGTACTCTGTGACATATTTATTTCTCAACCTTTCAAAAACCTCCTTTTTTTTCCCATCTATCTGACACAACGTCTTGTTTGTTGGATAGTTTGCATCTGTAACAATATTTTGCAGTAGTGGGTTCTGTATAACAAATCAACATGTGAAGAAAAGTAGCGATTTTAACCTTTTCATCGTATTCTTGTTATATTTCTTCATCTACCTTTTTCTATTTGCACAAACAAAAACAAGTGAGAAAAAGAAGAAGAATACAAAGCATAACAGGTATTGAACAATGAAAAAGTAGGTGCCACATAATTATCTTTTTCTCTGTTCTTCCTTGCTCATACCAGAACCTACATCTAAACTGTTAGGAAGTGAGTCACAATGTATATTAAGCTAACACCCTTTTCCATGTGCAGTCCATCCTGCACCTGGATAGGCAAACATACATGTAGATGGAGAAACATAGGTGCATCCCCAACCTGCACGTTGCAAACTAATAAATAAGTGGGGAACATGGATATGAGGTTTCGAACACAGGACCTCTGGGAGATAAAGCTCTGATATTTGATACCACCATTGAACCTCAAAAGCTTAAACTATTAGGGAATGAGCCAACAATGTATATCAAGTTAAGATGATCTTTGAAAGCTCTCCTCTTTGTCATCAAGTTAGCCTACTGAAACTCTTTCTCAAATATTTAGGTTGGTACCTTGCCTTTTTCGACAGTCCCAATAGATTTTACTTCTCAGAGTGGAAGCAAAGATAGCAACAATGTTTGGGGCTTGATTGATTTCAAACCTTCATTTTTAACTAAACAAAACTGATCTTGTTTTTGGAATAGGTCCTTACTTTTATCAATCAGATATATCCTTGTGAAAAAGTGTGAGTCATTTCCATTAGAGTTTTGCATTTGACTTGCCACTTCATGTTTTATCTCATTATTTTTTGATTAACTAATGCTATATTAACTTGTAAATCTATAACATAGATAGCACTCTAATTATTTGATTTTCTCTTCAGGAGCATTTAGGCAAAGATGATTTAGCATTTATTTTCTCACTCAAGGTATCTTATGTCTTTATTTGTTGTCTCTTTTGAAGATTTATGCTACCTTCTTGCTTTCACAGTGTGCTATTTATATATGTTTGTAGCACACATGGTTTCTGAAAGTTATTTTTATGCCCTTTGATCAGGTGGCAGACAATGCAACACTTTATGGTATTTGCCTACATGTGTCAGAAATTGTTCAGAGGCCTCCTGCTATCTTAGGCATCTCATCCCCTCATCCTCATTCATCTGGAGGACTCTTCCGTTTTTTGGTTTCTGCACCTCGATGCTACTGTGTGCTATCCAGAGTTCCTTTTTTTGAGTTACATTATGAGATGCTCAATAGGTAATGCGATGGAATTTTAATTTCTCTATAACTTGTAAATATGGTATAGACATTTCAAATTCATTTTTTATCCTCACGAAATCAATTATTTCGCTGTATTTACTTGGATGCAGTATCATTCAAGAGGAGCGTCTGAGTCGAATAACACAATTTGCTAGTGAAATGTCCCTCCATGATTATGTTCCTACATTGCCCAAAGTACATGATGAAATGAATGATCATGATGATTCCCCTCATAAGGAGTCATTTGATGATTGGATGGACTCTGCAATACCTGTTGACAGTGCACTAGCCCTGACGGCTGCTGGTGCAGGAATTAGATCGGATGATGAGACTCCACCTTCACTCAAGTTATGGGAACCTCAGTCCCCTGAAAGTGTTACTGCTAGTGAGAGTTCAGATTTTAGTCAAGTACGGTATTTAGACAAGGATGGTAGAAAGGATTCACAATGTTCTGATGACTATGGTTTTGAGGCCGTAGAAACTCGCTCGGAGACTTCAGAAAGAATATATGGAAGCTATGGAAATGGCCACACTTCTCCAGAGGTTGGGCCATCTTTCTCCTCCAGGAATCGCACATTGGAGAGTCTTGGGAGTTCTGAATATCTATTTAGGTAGAAAATATATTGTTATCTTACTATTTGGTTTATCATTTTGTGCTTAAGACATAAATTTATTGATTGTTTTCAGAAATGGCCATACTTCTCCAGAGGTTGGGACATCGTTTTCCTCCAGGAGTCGCACATTGGAACGTCTTGGGAGTTCTGAATCTCTATTCAGGTGGAAAATATATGGTTATCTTACTATTTGACTTGTCCTTTTATTCTTAAGACATAAATTAGTAGTTTTTCTTTTACCCGGTGCTCTGTTGGTATATATGCTGTTACATGGGATTCAGTAGTTCTTGAAACATTTCTGTTACTCTTATGCGGTCATTTGGATATGCCCATTTATAATTTCTCTCTCAATTCTTTATGGCATGTCAAATAACTTAATGATTCCCATTTGTCTAAGTACAACTTCAATAATCTATTATTATCTTTGGCAGTCCAGCTAGAAGCATGGTATCAGAGGATGACGACGATGACCTTTTCTCAAATTGTGAGAAAGAGTTTGGTGATGAATTGATAATGGAATGGGCTAGGGTGAGTTTATCAATTTTTATCAATATCTTTGATGTTTACACAACTTTTTTTTTTCTTTTCTATGTAAGTGATATTTTGAATTCCATATGACAGTTATTTTTGTATAAACTCTCTATGATAGGAGAATAAGAACGATTTGCTACAGATTGTTTGTGGTTTTCATGCTCTGCCTCTTCCCCAACCAGGAAGTGAACTAGCTTTTCAACCTCTTGAACATCTACAGGCTATTGAGTATAGACGACCTCCAGTTACTGCCCTTGGTTTTGATGAAAAAAGTTTAGATTCGTTCGAAGATCCTGGGGTATTTGATTAATTACTCATTGTTCTTAGGCCACTCTCTCTCTCTGTCTCTCACTCTCCCTCTCCCTCTTTCAAATATTTTAGCATTTTATAATTTTCACTCAACATTACTTCACTTGGTTAAAGGTCAATGCTAAGTTGGCTGCTGCTGAGGAAGCTTTTGCACTATCACTATGGACGACTGCTACAATTTGCCGAGTTCTCTCCCTTGAAAGCGTAAGCTCAATTGTTTTGCTCAAGTCCATGTTAATATATATTTTTTTTTTTGGTTTAGATTTTTTTTTTCTGTAGTAACCAATATATCATCATGTCACGTAATGAGTTTCTATTCTTTCCTATGTGATCAATGTTTTCTCAATATAAGTTTCACCAGAGGGAAATAAACACAGCCGGTGAAAATTTGTTTATTAGGCCAGAAATCCCAAAGATCTAACTTAGAAAAAGAACAAGTGGATAACCTGTAACTGTATTGATGTGAGCCCTCCATCCGGTAGGATTTTTATCATTTTCAAATTTGAATGGCAACAAGGAAAGCTACAAGGACTGTACAACAATTCTTGCTCCTGTGACTTTGTAACACAAAGTAAAGGTGCCGTATAAAGCCAAAACCTTCGAGGAAACACCACAACTCTAAAGAAAGCCCAACTTTGTGGACTATTATCATCTTCGTATGGCCATCTGAGTTACGTCAATGAAGTGAGACTAAAAGTAACAATGGTACCACCACTGAAAATGACTTTCATTCTTTAGCTTATCTCATTTTCATGTGATTTACCTCTTAATAAGTTGGTAGATAAGGTACTTAGGTACAGAAACAATATGGAGAACTTGTTAGCATAGTTCTTCTGGAAATGCTTGGCACATGATCTTAAGCCTTCACATTTTGACCTAACAGCATCTTTGAAAGTGGGCTGATGTTTGTGGTCAAGAATGTACCCACTTTTGCCCCAGGAAAAAGAAAGTTTATTTTGTCCCCCCAGTAAATCTTGTTGTCTACTTTTGTTAATTCATAACTGATGTTTTTTTCCAGATTTTAGCGTTGGTTGCGGGTGTATTACTAGAAAAACAAGTGGTAGTAGTGTGTCCGAATCTGGTGAGTTAATCTTTGTATTGGAATTACTTTGTCAATCCTGAGAGCACTTTTTTTCTTCTTTAAATTTTGACCATTTGACACTTCACTAATGCAGGGTGTGCTATCAGCTACAGTGTTATCTCTCATTCCCATGATTCGTCCATTTCAATGGCAGAGTTTAATGCTTCCGGTAAGCTCGATATTATTAGTGTTCTGCATCTACTTTAATTGGTTTATATATGTGAGTTTATGTGTACTTTAACGAAACTTGGGAAGTCTGAGTTCTTAAATATTTAATGAGAAAACTGTTGTGGGGTTTTGTCGTAAATAAAGTTTGTTAGTTTTAAACCCCTTCAACAATACTGGGTTTCCACCAATGAGGATTACATGCATAAACGATGGTGCTTTGTTCAGTGTACATAAATGTTTCCTAATACACTGACTTCACTCTTCCTTTCCTTGTATTATACACACACACAGAGACACACTGTTCTTTGATAATATTGTTTCGTCTCGGATGGTCTTTTACCAAGTATCTATAGGTGCACTAATACTCTTTGTGGACATCATATTTTCTTAAGTTTCTTCAATATTCTTCAGGTTCTACCAGGGAAAATGCTTGATTTTCTTGACGCCCCAGTTCCGTTTATTGTGAGTTTCATCCCATATTAATCGTCATACTTGTATCTTTTGTTATATATATTCCATTGCATTTTGTTGTATGGCTAGTTAAGTTTAAGGCTTGATTAAACACAGTTGATTGCTTCGATTGAATATTTACCAAACCAGAATTCTAAAGGGGATGCCAAAGCGAAATGCATAATATTGCTTTGCTTGGAATTCTATTTTGTTCCTAGATTATATATAGGAAATACTAACTTACTGCTAGAAAATTCATGTAACTCTTAAGTTCGAACTTGAATTTCAGGGTTTGTAAGAAAATGGTGCCATTGTTTCCAGTTTAATTTCTTTTTTTCTCTTATCATTTTGCAGGTTGGGATACAACAAATTCCTGCAGATCT